AAAGCTCAAACTTTCCAACACGCTCTCCCTTTAGGCGAAGAGGGAGTTTGAGGAGGCTGCTAAGGGAAAAGGAAAAGGCAAAGGTGCCTTAGGTTTCTCCTCATGTGCTTCTCCACCGCGTGGCTCTCGCTCTCGCTGTGCTCATAGTGAGGAGCCTCAGTCATGCTCCTTCAGTGGTAAGCCCCCCAACAAGTTCAAGTTCTTCATGAAGTACATGTTTGGAGCTTGTTGTGCTAGCACGGAGCGTGAGCAAGAGTTGCTTGTGAGGATGCATCGGATTGAGCAGAAGTTGGACATTCACTCCGCACCACCTCATGACTTGGAGCCACTTCATGATCCCTTCGAGCTTTTATGATGAGGCTTGCAAGGAATTCTATTGTGAGTCATCCGATCAGCCCCATCGCTATGGTAAGCAACAAACCGGTGCCGAGGACGAGGAGTACATTGAGGATGATGATGATGGCGGTGATCATGATGATGATGAGGACTACGAGGACGAGTAGTCGTTTCTTTCTCGTAGCCTACCGCTTTTGGCACTTGTTGACAAAGGGGGAGTGTTAGGCTTGATCTATCTATGTAATAAGTTAGTTGGCTTGTGAGACTTTAAAACTTTTAGCTTGTATGAACTATGTCATGTGGTGGCACTAAGTGATGGACATCTACCTATCTATTAGTTATCTTGCTTGTCTCTACTTGTGAATGGTGAATGTTATTTTGGATGGCCATGTGTTGCTTCAAGTTTTTACTTTGAGATCTTGGCCATCACTTTCTGTTTTACTTGTGTGAATATGACATGTCATATTGCATATCTTTTTCATAGATATATATTTGTTCACACATACTTGTTGCACCCTACGGATTGCAAAATTTAGGGGGAGCTTTTGTCTTGATGTATGCAAGTGATGTATAGATGATCATCATTGAAATTCAAATTCATGCATACATTTAGGGGGAGCTCCTCATAAATTTTGGGGTTTAAAAGCTTTAAATTCTTTCATTCTTATAAAAGCCGAAGTTGGTTGTCTTCAATTACCAAAAAGGGGGAAATTGAAAGTGCATTTGCCACCTATGTGGGTTTTGGTATATTGATGACATCCAAATTAGGGACTAATGAGATCGTAATGAGATATATTGTAGCTTTAGGCCATGAAAGTTTTAAAGAGTTGACTTAAGATGAAATGGTGTCCCTCAATTCTTGAAGTTGAAAAGGCGGACGAACTCAAAAGTGCTCTCTGAAGTTTTATCCTTTATTTTGAGTTTAGGTTTCGTCGTACTATAAAGAGGGATGCAAGTTTAGGTGGTCTAAGGAAGATAGAATGCTCAAGCATAAAAATAAAATCTAAAGAGAGACACAAAATAACCTCATGAACACCTAGATATAGTTTGTGGACTTTTGGTAGCCGAAGTCCCGGCAGTCGGAAGTCCCGACTCTTGTTAGAAGCCCCGGTGCTCTTGAACTTAGCTGCCAGGCCCAGCTATCCGTCGAAAGTCCCAACGCGAGCCGAAAGTCCCAACAGTCGAAAGTCTTGACTCCTGCCAGAAGTCCCGGCGCCTTGGGACTTAGTCGCCTGGCTCGCCTATCTGTTGGAAGTCCCAACGGAAGTCGAAGTCCTGGCTTTTGGAAGTCCCGGTAGCTGCCGGGATTTCGATGATAGTCGAGCAAGCCCAGTGGTCTGCACATTTGAACAGTGTTCTGCAGTAGAGCTAGAAGTCCCGCCGATCTATGTTGGAACTTCCGACATAGATCTGAACGGTTGGATTTGTCTATGAGTATAAATTGCTCTCTCCTCTCTTCTAACCATTACACACTCATTCATTGCTCATGAACCTTCATCCAAAACAGCTCCCAAGCATTCAAGGCGCCTCTCTCCACTCTCCTTTGCTTCAATCTTTGATTCCCCTAGGGTTTTGAGTGAAAGGAGAGTGGATTGAGTGAGAGAATCACTTTGGCAAGCTTGAGCACTTGATTTCTTCATCAAGATGGTTGGATTTGCATCCATTACTCTTGGAGCTTTGCTCCTAGATGGCTAGGCATCGCCCAAGAGCTTCCATCTTGTGGAAAGAGCCTTGGAAAGTTTGTATTAGCCTCGATTTCTTAGTGGAAAGCTCAAGTGACCTTTGTGGTTGCATTGAGAGAGGCAAGGAGGTGAAAGAGACTCCGACCTTTGTGGTCACCTCAACAATGAGGACGTAAGAGATCCTTTATGGGGTTGCCAAACCTCAGGATAAATCCTTGTGTCCTACGTGCTTGTTGTTGTTGAGATTTATGCTATCATATTTGTTCTTGTTGGTTTCCTCTTCCTCCCCAACTGTCCTCTTAGGGTTTGGACTCGATCTATGAAGTGGGAGCATTTTGGCATCAAGGGAGTGATCCTATGTGTCTACCTAACCACTTGGAAGTGGGGTTGTAAGATATCTCACACTCACAGCTTATTTTCGCACTTGTAGCGAATTACACGTTGGTGCTAGAACTCCCAACTGTTTGCATCGGAACTTCTGGTTGCCGGAAGTTCCAACCCAAACTGTCAGGACTTCCGACTGTTGCTGACATTTTGACATTGAGATTGTGTAGAAATTTTTAGATACGCCTATTCAGCCCTTCTCTAGGCATTGCTTAGATCCTTTTAGAGAGAAAGAGGGGTGAACATTATTGTAACTGAATTCGAATTCCTAAACCTATCAATCATTCCTCGCTACTTCCAATTGGTTCTTCTTCGTGCTTTATTCCTTTCTTCTACCTCAAGTCTGTGCTAACAATCTGGTATCATACTTCACCGATCCATCCACTCCTTTGCCGCCCTCTGCTTGTCTAGGATACCGACGCTATCGCTGATCATCCCAACTTCACCCGTCGACAGCGTGCGCGTGGCGTCATGGACCCCAACTTGAAGCTCGTCCTTGATAAGCTCGACGACCTCATTACCCAGTGCTTCGATGATCAGGATGTTCACTGAGAGTGTCGCTTCACTGATATGGAGCACCACCTCTACACCCGCGACGAGTTCCTCGACCGTCGCTTCGCCGATCTTGAATCCCACTGCATCGCGCCCATTGACCCCAACGTTGTTCAGCGCATCTCAGCTCTAGAGGTGGTCTGTGTCGATCATGAAGCCATCGTCTACAAGCGTCTATTAGCATTGGAGTCGATCTGCATCGACCACATCGCCGATGAGTGTGACGCCCATGTCACCGCACTTGAGATGAACGTCGCTGACGTCAACGCCTGGCGCACCAAACTCGGTGGCCTCATCGACGATCTTCGACTCAAGGTTCAGAAAGTGTCCATGCACTATGACTGTGCTATGTTCGACACATCGTCACATCAACCGGGGCACATGGCGCTTCCTACGGCAGCTGCGCAATACTCTGCCGGAACCACCGCCAACGAGCCTAATGGGCACCATGTTGTCTAGACTACATGGGACCTTGATTTTGGGTCCTCAACACCCACAACTCATGGCCCTCCTGTGGTATGATCCATCCCCACCCTCTTCCTCATATGTGTGTTCCACCTTCTGCTCTGCCGTATCCTCCTGCACCGAATCCGACATCTCACCCTATTCTGCCACCACCAGCACCAAATCTAGTATCTCATCCTATTAAGCATCCTGCCCCACCATATCCTGCTGCTCCCAATTCCACTTTCTGTTTGCCCAAATTTGATTTCCCCAAATATGATGGCGAGACCCCATGCCTTTGGCGCACATGTTGCGAAAACTACTTCTCCATGTACTCTGTTGAGCCATCCGTGTGGGTGCGCGTAGCCACTATGCAGATGTTTGATGCTGCTGCACTTTGGTTACAATAAGTTGAATCCTAGATAAACTCTGTGACATGGGAGCAGTTCTATATCATGATTCGCGACCGCTTTGATCACGATCAACATGAGCTCTTAGTGCGTCAATTGCTACATATTCGTCAAAACCACGGTCTCTGATTATGTAGCATGATTCACTTCTCTCACAGACCAGCTTATTGCCTACAATTCTGGTGCCGATCCTATTTATTTCATCACTCGTTTCATTGATGGCCTACATCCTGAGCTACGTTCAATTCTGCTTGTTCAACGCCCGAAAACCTTGGATGCTGCTTGTACTCTGGCCCTATTGCAGCAAGAGTCCGGTGGACATCGTGAGGTGATGTGAACAACTTCACCGCCCAAGTTCGAGAAGAATGTTCATAGTCAAGACACCCGTCCATCTTCTCTTGAAAACAAGTTGGTTGCTGTCAAGGCTTATCGCAAGGACATGGGGCTATGCTACAAATGTGGTGTCAAATGGTCCAAGGATCCCAAATGCTCACCAGAGGTACTTCATGCTATTCGTTCCGGTGTCGAAGAACGTTTCATGAGGAGTCCTGCCAAATAGGCCTTTGAAGTCTGACTAAATTTACAGTAGTTGGTTAAAGTTTAATCTAAACCATACAAATGGATGGACTTGAAAGTAGACTTATTTTTAGTCTAGTCAAATTAGTTTTCAGTCCCTCTCAATAATTTATGTATCTAAAAAATATATATGACTAAACTTTAATCGCCTAAACTTAAGCCATCCAAATTTTTATCTAAAAATTTTAGTTGTACTAACAACTACTCCTTCTATCCCATAATAAATGGACTTCTAGAGTTCAAAATTTATACCAAAATAAATGTACCTTTAGATATGGATTCACTAACTCTAATTGTTTTTTTCTACCTTTTTTCTTCTCAAAGTACAATGATTACATCTTTACAGGGGCATATGTAATTTCTCATTAACATTGATCTTTTCATCCAAAATCTAGAAGTGCAATTATTTTTTATTTATTGAAGTGCACTTATTTTGGGACAGATAAAGTAATCGACAAGATAAACATGTCCTTTAGTCCCTGGCCGCACATTCAAAACAAAAAAAAAAAGAGAAAAAACATCAACACCGGCACGGGCCCAGCCCAAAGCGTGCTCGCTCTCCAGCCCGGTACTCCAGTCCCGCGCAGCTGCTCTGACCGCGGCGACGGCCACCCCCATGCCGCCGGCGCCCACGCGATGGCGGCGCGGGGGCCGATCGCCACCGCGTCTCCTTCACCGAGTCCTCCTCGTGGCCGCCTTCTCCGCTGCGGCCCTCATGCTCCTCATACTACTCCAGCACAGCCACGGCCCTAACCCCCCAAATCCCTCCGCCGCGTCCCGCGCCCGCGACTCCTCGGGGGAGCTCCTCGACGACTCGCCTCCCGCGGAGCGGGATCCGGAGGCTGGTGACTCGGCGGTCGCCGCTGACGGTTCCGCGTGCGCGACGGTGGAGAGGATGGGGGAGGAGGCCGCGGGCGCTGGGCGGGGCTCTCCGGAGCAGGCCAGCCTGCGGGTCCGCGAGATGATTCGGCGCCACTTCGAGCTCCACGGTGCGTTCCGATCACGAAGAGGACGCCAGCTCGATTTTGATCTCTCTTTTTATTCCCCTGGAAATGCTGCGTGTTGGACCCATTGAATTCTGAGAGATGGTTTGTTAGTCATGCGTCGTGTATGTGAATTAGAATATGATGCCTGAATCGTTTGATTGGATGCCATACGCTATCAATACAGTAGTTACTTCTGTGATTTATCCAGGAATTGAATTGGGGACTAGCCTGAAAAGTGATGAAGCTGCCGACAGGTTGGCAATGTCCAAACACTAGTAGGTCGCCGCTTCTATGAACTTTGCAACAACTAATGTATGGTCTAGTTGTCTACCATTATTTTTACTTTTCTGTCTGGGATGCATTTCTCAAGTGTTTATGTTGCTGGGGGTGGCAGAAATCGACAGTGGTCGAAGTAATGTTCTCATAACCACTTACTTCCATCATTTGGCCCACTACATGTGGTCGTTTCTAGCAATTCGCATTAGGATTGTGTATGACAGAACCTTGAACCAAACTGAATTTTGGTACATAACCAGTCCACTACCATTCTTCTACATTATATCCATTTGTGACTGCAGTGTCTAGATAGGTTGTTTATTACTCCTTGGGCTTCCTGTCACCAGGGGCGGATCTAGGATGGTGACAAAGGGGGGGGGCTAAACAATGAAGATTTAGGGCTAGAGCTAGAGATTAATGGTGATTTGAGGTTAAGTAACAGTGATTTAAGGTAGAAAGTCATGCTCACGAGGGGGGGCTGCAGCCCACCCAGCCCCCCCCTCCCGTGGATCCACCCCTGCCTGTGACAATATAGTGTCGCTGTGAACATCAACAACTAACAAACAGAACATTCTGTGTATGATCATTTAGACAAAATTGAAAGATGATCGCCTATCTTCTACTACTGTTTATTGAAGTGTTTGAGGCATTGGTTTACTTGATTCAACAAAATTTCCATTCACATGATACAAACTTGTTCAGGAGAGAGACGGCATAAATTAAAAGCTATCAAGTTTGTGATCCATCACATGCATACGAAATGTAAATTAACATGTGCATCACATAGTTCAGTCATAAGTCAACTGTGATGTCTCCAATAGCTTTGCATGGAGAATTACACTTTGTAGTTATGCACAGGAGCCCAACGTTTACATCTTCAATTAACTTGCCAGGAGCAGAAAGAGTGAGAACGCTTCCTGCCCATGAATTCTGCAAACAAGGCTTTGTGTTGGGGAAAGCATCTGAAGCTGGATTTGGCAATGAAATGTACAAGATCTTAACAGCAGGAGCCTTGAGTGTCATGTTAAACCGATCTTTGATCATTGGGCAAACAAGGCATATGCATTTACACTCAGCTACTTTTCATCTTTATCTTTGATTTGACTACTATGCGATAGGTCGGAAGCACCGAGTTCTATGAAATTGCTTCTTTTCCTGTTTTCATTGCTAAATATACTTGAAATTTTGTGTTGCTTATATAGTGTTAACTTTTTACATGATGTTTAATTGTGATTTTTTGCGTATTATCATGGCTGTGAACCCATGATAAATAGAATCTGTAGTTTAGAAGCAGTGGTGATTGATATTCATTATCCACTTACAAATTTTTGTTCCTCTCTGTCAAACAGGGGACTGTATCCTTTTGGGGAGTACATTTCTTATACCAACCAGTCATTCACTATTCATGAAATCAAACATTTGTGGAGGAAACATCGTTGTGCTAGGACATACGGTAGAGATCTGAATATCAGAGTGGACATTTTTGACAATCCAGCTGAGACGAATGTTCTGTGTAGTGACTGGAATAGCTGGAAAGATCCAATTATCTGGTTAGTACTACAGTTACAGCCTAGAATAAGTTTTATGTTTTACAATATTTCTCTTGGCATGACCTGCATATGTTATTGATAGGAAGAAGTGAAGAAAATAGTAATGGCGATAAGTTTCCTAATTTACTCTAGAGGCACACTAGATGATAAAGATATCTGTCACATCTTGCACTTACACAAGGCTTAGGGTTTAGACTTTAGAGATCAAGTTCTGTACAACAACAACAACAACAACAACAACAACAAAGTTTTAAGTCCCAAACAAGTTGGGGTAGGCTAGAGTTGAAACCCAGCAGAAGCAATCAAGGTTCAGGCACGTGAATAGCCGTTTTCAAGCACTCCTATCTAAGACTAATTCTTTGGGTATATTCTATCCTTTCAAGTCTACTTTTATTGCCTTTACACAAGTCAACTTCACGTTAATATCCCGGTTTAGGATTTCACTACGCACCGGTGCCTCTGCAGGTCTCCGTTGGACATGTCCAAACCATCTCAACCGGTGTTGGACAAGCTTTTCTTCAATTGGTGCTACCCCTAATCTATCACGTAACGTTCCAAACTCGATCTCTTCTTGTATGACCGCAAATCCAACGCAACATATGCATTTCCGCGACACTTATCTGTTGAACATATCGTCTTTTCGTAGGCCAACATTCTCATCCATACAACATGGCAGGTCTAATCGCCGTCCTATAAAACTTGCCTTTTAGCTTTTGTGGTACCCTTTTGTCACATAGGACACCAGATGCTTGGCGCCACTTCATTCACCCTGCTTTGATTCTATGGCTAACATATTCATCAATATCCCCGTCTCTCTGTAGCATTGATCTAAATATCGAAATGTATCCTTCCTATGCACTACTTGACCTTCCAAACTAATATCTTCCTCCTCCTGAGTAGTAGTGCCGAAGTCACGTCTCATATACTCAGTTTTAGTTCTACTGAGTCTAAAACCTTTGGACTCCAAAGTCTCCCGCCATAACTCCAGTTTTTGATTCACTCCTGTCCGACTTTCATCAACTAGCACTACATCGTCCGCGAAAAGCATACACCAAGGGATGTCCCCTTGTATGTCCTTTGTGACCTCATCCATTACTAAGGCAAACAGATAAGAGCTCAAAGTTGACCCTTGATGTAGTCCTATCCTGATCGGAAAGTCATCTGTGTCTCCATCACTTGTTCGAACACTAGTCACAATATTGTTGTACATGTCCTTAATGAGCCCGACGTACTTTGTTGAGACTTTATGTTTGTCCAAAGCCCACCACATAACATTCCTTGGTATGTTATCATAAGCCTTCTCCAAGTTAATAAAAACCATGTTTAGGTCCTTCTTCTCCTTATACCGCTCCATAACTTGTCTTATTAAGAAAATGGCTTCCATGGTTGACCTTCCGGGTATGAAACCAAATTGGTTCATAGAGACCACGCGTTATTGCTCTCAAGCGATGCTCGATAACTCTCTCCCATAGCTTTATAGTATGGCTTATCAACTTAATTCCCTAGTAATTAGTACAACTTTGAATATCCCCTTTATTCTTGTAGATCGGTACCAATATACTTCTCCTCCACTCGTCATGCATCTTATTCGATCGAAAAATATGGTTAAACAGCTTGGTTAGCCATACTATAGCTATGTCCCCAAGGCATCTCCACACCTCGATTGGGATACCATCCGGTCCTATCGTTTTACCTCCTTTCATCCTTTTCAACGCCTCTCTGACCTCAGATTCTTGGATTCTCTATACAAAGCGCTTATTGGTGTCATTAAAAGAGTCATCCAATTGAAAGGTTGTGTCCGTATTCTCACCATTAAACAATTTGTCAAAATACTCTTGCCATCGATGTCGGATCTCATCCTACTTCACCAAGAGATGCTCCCTTTCATCCTTAATGCACTTAACTTGGTTGAAGTCCCTTGTTTTTCTCTCACGAACCCTAGCCATCCTATATATATGTCCTTCTCTCCTTCCTTCGTACTCAAATGTTGGTAAAGATCCTCGTACGCTCTATCCTTTGCCATACTTACAGCTCGCTTTGCAGTCTTCTTTGCCACCTTGTACTTCTCTATGTTGTCCACTCTCCTGTCATGGTACAAGCGTCTATAGCATTCTTTCTTCTCCTTAATAGCCTTTTGGACTTCCTCGTTCCACCACCAAGTATCTTTAGCCTCGCCTCCACTTCCTTTGGTTACTTCCACACACCTCTGAGGCCACCTTCCGAATGTTGGTTGCCATCTTCTCCCACATGTTGTTTATGTCCTCTTCTTCCTTCCAAGAGCCCTCTTTGATAACCCTTTCCCTGAATACCTCTAACGTCTCCCCTTTTAGTTTCCACCACTTTGTTCTTTCAATCTTAGCTTGTTTATCCCTACGGGCATGCACCTGAAAACAAAAGTCTGCCACTAAAAGCTTATGTTGAGAAACAACACACTTCCCTAGTATCACCTTACAACCCAAGCATGCTCGTTTGTCCTTTCTTCTTGCGAGGACAAAGTCAATCTGGCTAGAGTGTTGTCCGCTATTGAAGGTCACTAGATGAGATTCTCTCTTTCTAAAGAAAGTGTTGGCTATCATCAGGTCAAAAGCTACCGCGAAGTCCAGAACTTCCTCCCCTCCTGATTCCTACTACCATACCAAAAACCTCCATGAACTGCCTCGAAACCTACGTTTGTAGTACCTACATGCCCATTAAGATCTCCTCCTATAAGAAGCTTCTCATTACTATGTACAACTCTAATCAGGCTATCTAAGTCTTCCCAGAATTGTCTCTTAGCACTCTCGTTGAGGCCTACTTGGGGGGTATAAGCACTAATTACGTTCAAAACCATATCACCAATGACAAGCTTGACTAAGATAATCCTATCTCCTTGCCTTCTTCACTCCCACTATACTATTCTTGAGGCTCTTATCAATCAAGACTTCTACTCTATTTCTATTCGCAACTGTCTCTGTGTACCAAAGCTTGAAACCTGTATTGTCCACCTCCTTCGCCTTCTGACCCTTTCATTTAGTCTCTTGAACGCATAATATATTTACACGCCTCCTAGTCGCGGCATCAACTAATTCTTTTAACTTACCTGTAAGCAACCCTATATTCCAACTACCTAAACGGATCCTAATTGGTTCGACTAGCTTCCTTACTCTTCGCATCCGTCGACTCAGATGTGAAGACCCTTGCTCATTTTTCACTACACCCGGGCGTCGATGTAGCGCACCACTAAGGATGCGACGACCCGATCCTTGCTCACTTGACACCGTGCCTAGATCGTGACACGGCCCTTGCTCATTTAACACCATACCCGGGTTCCGATATGGCGCGTCGCTAAGAGGGTTACGCCCCAACGGTTTTCTTTCGGGTTTCATCTCCATTAGAATGGCTAGATTTAACGTTGTCTCGCCACGCCTATCACAACCCTCCTCCTTTACTAGGGCTTGGGACCTGCAATGTTGAGACAACATAGGCGGAGTTTTAGAGATCAAGTTCTGTAATGTTAAATTTTTATTTCTTAAGCCTCAGGTGACCACTAACCAGTCATTTCCGTTAGTGTACATTTCTTATGTTACTAATCATTTGCCGTAGTGCATTTATTCTTTCTTGCTTGTTCAATTTTTTACACACTAAGTGCAGTTCATTTGCTTTCTTTCCTTGAGCCATTAGTTTTCATACAAAAGCTATGTGTAAAAAGCCTGCTGATTGGTGCTACTTATTTACAATTCTAGGTTCGATGGTGCAACAGATGCAGTTGGGATTCAGTTTTTTCTGAAGAATGTTCATCCTAAAATGAAGGCTGCTGCGTCGGCTCTTTTTGGATTGCCAGACTCATTGTATGCCAGGCCTAATACATTTGGTGAACTTATGCGAGCTATCATATCTCCATCCAGCAAAGTCGAAGAAGCAGTTGACTGGGCTTTGAAGGGTGCGAATCCAGATATTGTTTTGCACACGCGCATGATGGCGAATAGGTATGGCACACTATTTGTGGATGCTTGTGTAAATTGAAGTAACTATATAGATTGTCCCATCAGTTGAAAAAGGAAAAGTGCGGTATAGTGGAATATTGACATCATGCAATTTCACCTGCCTACATATCTGGTTCATCAGTAGTCACTGAAAATGCTGCTTTGTAGCCGAAATCGTTAATGTAACCTAAGTTAGCTTCGCATATTTCTTTTATTTCTGTAATATAATCTTTAAACTTAAGTTTGAATCAGTAATAGTCAATTTCAATATTTACTCAATATCTTTCAGTTTGGGAGTGTCCACCACCTGTATCATGCAGATAATCTGTTAGCAGCACTTGCTAGTGTTGTACAACATATCAGCGAGCTAAAGAGCTAATCAGTAATGAGGCGATAGTTGGCTATGCGCCTATGTTTTAGAACAGTCTCTTCTACACTATATGTTTTGAACAGTTGAAGATTAACTCCTATTATTACTATAGGCCAATCCGAGCAAGAAAAGCTGCAGTTCTTTGTATTAAGAGAGCTCTACAGATTAGCCATATCAAGGGTACACCTCTGGTGGCATTGGTCTCAGACACACCAGCATTTGTGAAGGAGATAAAGTCAGACATCAGTGAGTTTGCAGAGGTTAGCTGCTAGATTGAATTGAATACTACAGGGTGAACTTAGCACTATATTTCAAGCACCATGGAGATTGATTATCTATTTGTTGAAATATTAGAAAGTTGGATGTTCATTCTGCAATTGTTTTCAGGTACTTTATTTTGATTACAAGTTGTTTGCCAAGACTTCTGGTCTGGAGATAGTTGGAAGTGATAAGGTATTATTCACTCTCATGGCCCCATAACTGTTACCGTTTCCTCTATAGCTTTCTGAGTTCTGAACCTTATTGGGCTCTTTAGGCGTAATTTTTATGCTAGATTTGTGTCAAGGACGTTACAGTTTATATCAGGAAATGAAAAAAAAATACATAATTCCTAAAGTTGCTATGTTAGTAATGCACAACTCTATTTTGCTAGTGTGGAGCTGTCTCTCCAAATTTGGCAGGATTTTCTTTCTTTGTTTTGTTCTCATGTCTATGTGTTGTGTTTTCTATTTTGAAGCATTCTTCCATACACATGTGAAATTAAGACAAGCCATACATGTATATACAGTTCTTACAACATTGTAGCAATTCTAGGACAAATATGTAGCCCTCTTTTAACTATAGAGGGATCTTGTGCCTACCATATTTTGAGCCTGGTGGTAGACATTAATGGCAGGTATGTAAGTGATTTGTGCTTTGGTGGAGTTAATTCACCTAGAATACCTTATAATTTGGGACAAATTTTGAATGCTTCAGTGCCTTATATTTTAGGACGGAGGGAGTAGCTCATGCATAAAACCACAAGTACACAACATAATATTTATTATCTTTTTAAGAGATTTACCTGCTTTAGAAAACATATAATGCAGTATTCCTTTGCTAATGAATAATGATAGGATTGGCATATGTGCATTACCTGCAAGAGGTGCCTGAGGCAGCCTTAAACTATGGATGTCTTGTTGAAGTGTTCCACTTACAGTTCAAAACTATCAGTAGGGCACTATTCATTAATGTAAGATTTTGTTTTAGTCTAAGAACACAAGTTGTCACTACGTTTATTTTGATCAACAACGGGCAACTTATGGCATTTGTGGTATTTCTGTGGATACTTCTGCATCTATCTTGTTTCACATCTTGTTCCCTGAACTCAAGACCTTTTTTTTTTGTGCAAGCCTTTGGATTTTCGTTCAAGAGACTGGGGATCAGCTCCAAGGTGGGTGGCGTTTGTTGATTTCTTTATAGCTGCACAGGCCAGATATGCAGTTGTCACTGGAGCACACCGTCGTGTGGGGACCACCTACGCACAACTCATTGCAGCATTGGCTGCGGCAAACAGACATGGTACATATGGCTTGTCTTTAAACATGTCGTCGCTTTTTGCATTTAGTCCAGTCTTGAACCTTCAACCTAAATCAGCCTACCCTTTTCTTGTATACTTAGGTCGAGAGCCTTCAGGCGCCAACTTCACGTTCCTAAGCAGCGTCCACAGTAACTTGCTGGTCGAGGGGCTCTTGACGCAGGTTGGATGGGGTCATATCTGGAACAGATACGCTGGTCCTCTAAGCTGTCGGCACCAGCCACACCAATGCGCCTTGACCCCTCTCCTCCCTCCTGCTTGGTGGGACGGTCAGTGGCAAAGCCCCATTCCCAGGGATGTGAGGAGGCTACTGGAGTATGGCGTCCGGTTATCGAACACTGGGGAGGTGGATGAGAGGCGCCTCGTGTTGCACTGCAGGTCAAGGAAAGATCATGTAAAGAGGTACCATGTCCTTCCACCATACAAGAACCCGGCATCATCATAGGCTGAGGTCGGTGAGGAACGCCTAACGTCATGCTCTTGGAGAGCTTAGTTTTGCATTAACCACTTACGACAGGTGTAGGTTAGAGTGGCCAGGCTTTTAAATTGGCCATGCTGGTAAGTTTTGTGTCGTGCCACAAATGGTCCCAGTTTTGGTATTCTGCTGCACAGGTGTTCAGGTGGTAGTATATCATGCATCGTACATCACTGTTGTTGATCCGTGATAAGACCGTAAAGCAGATAGCAAATCCATAGATGGGGAGGCATAGCCTTGCATTGCCCAATGAGTTATGAGCTAGTGGTCTACTCTAATCTGCCATTAAACTGGATAGCAGAGCACCCACCCAGAATGTAGAGTGATGTGCGATCCGTCTGCTGATGCGATTTTATGTCTTTCGTTCTCCTGTCTACTCGTATGCAATGCTATTCATCACACATGAACACGTGACGTCACGCTTTGGCCTTGTTTGTTTCAGCTTGTGATTGTCTTCAGCTGTCTTTTACTACTAGCTTGGGATTGTTTTCAAGGCTGAAACAAAAAGGTTCTTGAAAGATGCGTGGGTGCACGCCAGTTTGGTGCCGAGCCATGCTGCGCAAAGTGGACATCTAGTGGGCCTGTGGCGACTGAGTGACTCAACCTAACGCATGACCAGCGACGGTCGCCCTGCACCTTGGGCAAGCGCTCCGTATCTCTATTTTAAACACTGATAACTACTAATGGTCGAGCAGCCAATTGAAGGCACCATGTTTTACCCATCACATCTCAGATTTTTTTTTTTTCATTTTGCTCAACGTTGCCAGGTTTGTGACTTTCGGCTTTTTAGCTACAACTGCCAGGTTTGTGACTTTCGGCTTGTTCGCTACAATTTTCCTTGCTTCTTTAGTGACCGAAATCAAAACTAGCGGTACCTCATGTTCTACAAGGAGGGCATGGAAATTTGTACAAACGTTGCCTTCTTTGTTACAAAGTGGTATCAAAATTTACACGAGGTGACTCCAACCCAAGTAACTAGAAGAGAACCCATCGCAGCCCCCGTTCCTGTCGGGCAACACAACTCGATGCGTTTCCTCGGCTTCCCACAGGAGTAAGGATGAAAACGGTTGAAAACGGTCGAAAAACTTCTAAATTGTTTTCTACTTTTACATTTGAAATACGAAAACGAAAGCGCAAATGGTAAAGCCGAACACGAAAACGAACGCGAACTTACGAAATATCGAGAATTCTGAAAACAAACCAATTCGAGCGGATTTATGTCGAATACGGTCGATATACGAAAATTCAATACGGAATATCGACCCGTAGGATCAAGTGCATGACTAAGTACATACATGATCAAGTTCAAGTGCATATAATAATTAACAAGTGCATTATCCTTAATCTTAGGTATTTAACACAATAGCCGACACATAAATACAAGTCTAGAACAAGCAATTAGTAGCTAGCAGGATAATAGGAATTAAAATTAGATGTAGCAACTAGAATACTATTTTAGATTCTGAACTAAAATTAGATGTTATAGAAACGATGAACTCGAACTGAGTCAGGATAATTTTATTAATTTTTTAGAATAAATATAGTATTTTATTTTAAAGATTTATTCAGATTTTTCTTTTGAGTACCAAAGATTTATTCGGCTGAGGCAAAAACTATCAAATGATTGACTTCGTAGGTGGGGTTAAACCGATGAGCTTGATGGGCTATGGCCCTGGTAGGCATTCGTGTAGATGAGGCTGGACGCCGTCTATAAGAGAGGGCAGCTGGCCACCAGTAGAAAGAACGCAGCTGCGTGGTGAGCAGCTTGTAATTAGGCTGTATGACCTATGCAGTTGGCCAAATTCGGTTTAAACCGAATTTTAAATTCAGAATATTTCAAATTAAAAGTAGAAAAGTAGAAAACAATCGAAAAATGTCTAAACCGTTTTCTACTTTTACATTTAAAATACGAAACATCTGAAATGTGAAAGCGAAAACGGTAAAGTCGGACAAAAAAATACGGATTCGATCGAATTAAATATAGAAAACGATGCGGTTCGGTTGGTGATGCGTTCCGTTTTCATCCTTACCCAGGAGAGATTCGTTGGCAACAGAGCACCGCAACCCTGCTGCTCTGCTTCCTTGTCGTCGCCGAAGGGCAAGAAGTCTCTCACTCCTAGTACCTGTTCTGTTACGTATTTAACTCTCAGCAGCGATCCGGTGGGCGATGCTCACATGGACGAGGGCGAGGCTCATCGTCGTTCTGCTCCGGCCACCGCACGCCACGTAGATACGCTTGACGATATACTCCTGCATCGCAGTCGCGCATGGCGGCCGCCGCTGCTCAAGCTAGGCCCTTCTTGCTTGTCGTGCTCGTCGCCACGGCGTCGCTATTGCCGTGGCTCGCCGGGACATCCACAGAAGCAGCAGCTGCCGACCGTGGTGTTACGCTACGCGTCGACCCGCGCCAGGTACGAGACAGCAGCCGAGCTTATTACGCAGGCGTGGCACTGCTGGCGCGATGACCGATCGGTTTGGTTGTCCATTGATGATTCGTTCCCGTTCCCAGGTGGTCGTGGACAATGGCGCGGTGCAGGTGGCGCTGTCGGCGCCGGAGGGCCGGATCACCGGCGTCAGCTACAGCGGCGAGCCCAACCTGCTGGAGTACGACGCCGGCGACGGAGACTACGGAGGGTAACTGACGAGTGCATGCATATTACAGTTGTCCGTGCTGGCTTCTTTTATCTGCGCTCTTCTCTCTGCCATTCAGAATTTGTTCCTTCTCTTGCAGGTACTGGGATTCAGTGTGGAACTATCCCGGCTCTGGTCTCCCAGGACTGTACAACACGTGAGTGATTGCTGGATTCTGTATTCTTGCCAACCTCATAAGCATTACTCACAACTTGATTAAACTGATACAGGTTGGATAGTACAGAGTTCAACGTAGTATCCTCAAGTGAAGATCAAGTGGAGCTTTCTTTCAGGAGTACATATAACCCATCACATCAAAATAGCATTCGGCTAAACATCGACAAGAGGTGCCAAATTCTTCATGTTGTTCAGTTTGTGTAATTACATGTGTTGGCCATTGTTTCCTCGTCTGAGATAGTACCAAACTATCTCGATCCGGAGTTTGCTAAGACCACTGGTTCAGGCTTGTGATGCTCAGAGGTAGCTCTGGGTTCTACTGCTATGCCATCTTTGAGCATGACAGGGCCTACCCTGCTCTCAACATCACCGAGGCTCGGCTCGTCTTCAAGCTTAACACGGCAAAGTGAGTATGATTCCTTTTTTTAATTAAATGTTTGAACATAATGGATCATCCCTTTGTGGCTTTGCATTGTTTGCCTATGTTAAATCTGTGCTACTAGGTTCAATTACATGGCTATTACAGACGACATACAGAGGTACATGCCCAGTGCGGTGGACAGAGAAGAACCTCGTGCTGTCCCGCTGGCTTACAAGGAGGCTGTTCTGCTGGTTGACCCCAAGGAACCCCAGTTCCGAGGAGAGGTAATATAGAGTAGTAACTTAGCTAATGATAACATACTCGAAAACCAAAATTACCTCCAAATTAATTCATGTGCAGGTGGATGACAAGTACCAGTACTCGCTGGATAACGAGGACAACGTTGTTCATGGATGGATTAGCGACAGCGATCCGAACCCCATGGGTTTCTGGGTCATCACTCCCAGCAACGAGTTCAAGAGCGGCGGCCCTCTCAAGCGGGAGCTCACCTCCCACGTCGGCCCAACATCCCTCACCGTAAGCCCGCTCCCAAGCACCATCCAAATCAAAGAGTCTCCATCAGTAGACTGAAAAGTTTGTAAATTATTAATCTGAAAAGTTCATATGATCTTACTATTATTGTTTTCACGCGTCAGATGTTTATGGGGACGCATTATGTCGGGAAGTACATGTTGGCCAACATCGACGACGGCGAGGAGTGGAAGAAGGTCCTCGGCCCGGTGTGCGTCTACCTCAACTCAGGTCCCAGCAGAGGCGACCTCTGGGAGGACGCCAAGGCGCAGGCGGAGGCCGAGGCGAGGAACTGGCCCTACAGCTTCCTGGCGTCACCGGACTTCCCCAAGTCAGCCGAGAGAGGGTCCGTTGCAGGGAGGCTGTTGGTCAGGGACAGGCACCTGAACAAGAAGCACGACATGCCTGCGGGGACGGCGGCCTACGTCGGCCTGGCCTCGCCCGGCCAGCCGGGCTCCTGGGCGACGGAGAGCAAGGACTACCAGTTCTGGACGAGGGCCGCGTCCGACGGCACGTTCACCATCGCCAACGTCAGGGAAGGAGTGTACCATCTGTACGCGTTCGTTCCGGGGGTTCTTGGAGACTACGGCCGCTACGGATCGCCGCTGACCATAGCGCCTGGTCGTGCCGTCGCCGTCGGTGACCTTGTGTTCGAGCCCCCGAGGTCCGGCCCGATGGTTTGGGAGATTGGCGTCCCCGACCGGACGGCGGCCGAGTTCTACGTCCCGGACCCGGACCCCATGTACGTCAACAGGCTGTTTGTGGACAGAGACAGGTACCGGCAGTACGGTCTGTGGGAGAGGTACGCCAACTTGTACCCGGACAAGGATCTCGTCTTCACGGTCGGTGAAAGCAACGAGTCCAAGGACTGGTTCTTTGCTCACCTCACAAGGTAATAATGCCGCCTTATATTACTTTAAAAAAAGTAAAACACAAACCAACTTTGGTAATGGTAACTATATATGTTGATCTGCAGAAAGGTTGGCCAGGAAGCCGTGCCAACAACATGGCAGATACGGTTCAGTCTGGACAGCGTCGTGGCAGACGGCGACTACACGCTGCGGATCGCCATTGCAGCTTCTGAAATGTGCAGATTGCAGGTGCAAGTGAACGGGGATGCGAGGAGAGGCGGGGTGTTTACGACGCCCGACATGGGGGACGACAACGCGATCACGCGCCGCGGGATACACGGCATGCAGCGGAGCCTCGAGTTCGCGGTCGGTGGCCACCTGCTGCGCCAAGGCGACAACACCATTGGCCTAAAACTCATGCCACAGCAAGGACCGGAAGGTCCGGCCATGGTGGCCGGGGTCATGTATGACTACATCCGCCTAGAAGGGCCGCCGTCCAGCGGCGCTGCCTCACGCGGCGTTCCAACGGCGTTCCTTGACGGATTTTGGCCGTTGTTTCTGTTGGCCTTCCTAGATTTTGGTGGAAGTTTTTTCAACCTGATAAATAGTTTCTGTTGGCCTTCCTAAATATTGTCTAATCGTGGACCAACTCGTCATCTCGTGATTTTCAACTAAACTGTTTTTACCTATATTTAATACTCCATGCAAGTCTTGATGTAAGAAAGTGGCCCTAGTCGTCATATCCTAGTCTAGTTATGTGGCGATCTGGCAAGTAGTGGAAGCGTAGGATGGAAGGAGGCAAGTCAGAGCGAGGTGAATCACTACTCTCGCGAGGTCAACCAACAGTGACACCATTTTCTATTTCTTGATATAATACTTCATTATTATAATTAAATAGCGGTTGTTATCTAATATTTTACATTTGATATTACTACTTATAATGCATTACATATATCTCAATGCCATCACATTTCTCAAAAGATTCAATAATAAATACTTTGCCGTTCCAAATTGTAAGATGTTATGACTTTTGTATGTAGGTACATAGTTTTTGATTAGCACCTTGATATATATTGTAGCAGCAGCAACAACAACAACATAACCTTTTAGTCCCAAGTAAGTTAGGGTAGGCTAGAGTTGAAACCCACCAAGAGTTTCAAGTCACGTTTCAGGCACTTCAATAGCTGCTTTCTAAGCACTTCTATTCAAATTTAGATCTCTAGGTATATCCCACGCTTTCAAATCTCTTTTTATTGCATCCCCCATGTCAATTTTGGTCTTTCTCTACCTCTTCTCATATTATTAGCTTGGCTTAGGACTCCACAATGCACTGGTGCCTCTGGAGATCTCCTTTGGACATGGCCAAACCACCTCAACCGATGTTGGAAAAGCTTTTCTTCAATTGGTGCTACCCCTAGGCGATCACGTATATCATTATTTCGAACTCGGTCTATTCTTGTGTGACCATAAATTCATCGCAACATACGCATTTCTGCAACACTTTGTTGAACATGTCAAATCTTTGTAGGCCAACATTTTGTTCCATACAACATAGCTGGTCTAATCGCCATTCTATAAAACTTGCCTTTTAGCTTTTGTGGTACCCTCTTGTCACAGAGAATGCTAGAAGCTTGTCGCCACTTGATCCACCCTACTTTGATTCTATGGCTAACGTCCATATCAATATCCCCATCCCTTTGTAGCATCGATCCTAGATACCGAAAGGTATCCTTCTTAGGCACTACTTGACCTTCCAAACTCACATCTCCCTCCTCCTGTGCAGCTCCGCCAAAGTCGCAACTCATGTATTCGGTTTTAGTTCTGCTCAATCTAAAACCTTTAGACTCAAGAGTCTGCCGCCATAACTCTACTTTTTTATTTACTCCAGCCTGGCTTTCGTCCACTAATACTATATCATCAGTGAACAACATACACCAAGGGATATCCCCTTGTATGTTCCTGGTAACCACATCCATTACCAAGGTAAAGCGATACGGGCTTAAGGCTAACCCTTGATGAAGTTCAATTTTAATCAGGAAGTAATCTGTGTTACCATCGTTTGTTCGAACACTAGTCACAACATTATTGTACATGTTCTTGATGAGGGTCAAGTACTTTAATGGGACTTTATGTTTGTCCAAAGCCCACCACATAATATTTCTTGGTATCTTGTCATAAGCCTTCTCCATGTCAATAAAAACCTTGTGGAGGTCCTTCTTCTGCTCTCTAAACCGTTCTATAACTTGTCTTATTAAGAAGATTGCTTTTGTGGTTGACCTTTCGGGCATGAAACCAAATTGGTTTGTTGATATCTTCGTCGTTCCTCGCAGGCGCTGCTCAATGACTCTCTCCCATAGCTTCATAGTGTGGCTCATCAACTTAATTCTCCAATAATTAGTACAACTTTGAATATCTCTCTTGTTCTTGTAGATTGGTACCAATATGCTTCTTCTCTACTCCTCAGGAATCTTGTTCGATCAAAAGATATTGTTGAACATCTTTGTTAGCCATACTATAGCTATATCCCCGAGACATCTCCACACCTTGATTGGGATACCATTAGGGCCCATCGCTTTGCCCCCTTTCATCCTTTTCAAGGCTTCTCTGATCTCTGATTCTTGAATCCTCCACACAAAGCGCCTACTAGTGTCATCAAACTAGTCATCCCGCTGAACGGTGGTGTTCTCGTTCTCACCATTGAATGATTTATCAAAATACTCTTGCCATCTATGTCTGATCTCATCCTCCTTCATCAAGAGCTGCTCCCTCTCATCATTTATGCACTTGACTTGATTGAAGTCCCTTATCTTGCAATCGCGAGCCCTAGCCATCATATAAATGTCTTTCTCTCCTTCCTTCATACTCAAACGTTGGTAAAGGCCCTCATAGGCCCGCCCCTTTGCCTCATTCACCGCTCATTTTAGTCTTCTTTGCCACCTTGTACTTCTCTATGTTGTTTGCACACCTGTCATGATACAAGCACTTATAGCACTCCTTTTCTTAATAGCCTTTTGCACATCTTTATTCCACCACCAAGTGTCTTTCGAGTGGCATCCACTCCCTTTGGTCACTCCAAGCACCTCTAAATCAAACCTTCCGAATGCATGTTGTCATCTTCTTCGACATGTTGTTTGCATCGCCTTCATCCTTCCAAGGGCCCTCTTCATTGACCTTTTCCTTAAAGACCTTTAACGCCTCCCCTTCTAATTTCCACCACTTTGTTCTAGCAAACCTAGCTTGTTTGTTCCCATGATCTTGCACTTGAAAGCGGAAGTCAGCCACCACCAGCTTTTGTTGAGCGACCACACATTCTCTAGGTATCACCTTACATTCCATGCATTTTCATTTATCCCTCTTTGTAAGGACAAAGTCGATTTGACTAAAGTACTGGCCGCTACTAAAGGTCACTAAATGGGACTGTCTCTTACAAAAGAAAGTGTTAGCTATCATCAGATCAAAAGCTATAGCAAAGTCTAACACTTCCTCTCCCTCATGTTTTCTACTACCATATCCAAAACCCCCATGAACTACCTCAAAACCTGCAATTGATGTACCTACATGGCCATTAAGATCACCTCCTATAAAGAGCTTCTCGCTACTAGGGACATCTCTAACCAAGCGATCTAAGTCTTCCTAGAAAAGATGCTTAGCACTCTCATCATGGCCTACTTGGGGGGCATATGCACTAATTACGTTTAAGATCATATCACTAATGACAAGTTTAACTAAGATGATCCTATTCCCTTGCCTTCTCACCTCCACCACACCATCCTTGAGGCTCTTATCAATCAAAACTCCTACTCTACTTTTATTTGAAGTTGTCCCTGTATACCAGAGCTTGAAACCGGTATTGTCCACCTCCTTCTCCTTCTGCCCCTTCCATTTAGTCTCTTGGACGCATAAAATATTTACACGCCTTCAAACCGCTGTGTCCACTAACTCTCTTACCCATAAGGGACCCTACATTTCAGCTACCTAAACGGATCCTAATTGGCTCGACTAGCTTCCTTACCCTTCGCACCCACTAAGGTAGGTGTGAAGACCCTTGCTCATTTTGCACCACATCCGAGTGCCGATGTGGCGCGCCACTTAGGATGCGACAACCCGATCCTTGCTTTCTTGATATCGTGCCAGATCGCGACACGGCGCGTCACAGGGGTGACGACCCGGCCTTTGCTCATTTAACACCATATCCGGGTTCTGACATGGTGCGTCGCTAAGAGGGTTACGCCCCAACGGGATTCTTTTGGGTTTCATCTCCATAAAAGTGGCTAAGTTTTTACATTGGTTCGCCGCGCTAAACACAACTAATATGACCCTCCTTCTTTACTAAGACATGTGACACCATGCTATGAGGTGGGACACCAAATCAAGGCGCCCATGGCCATAGGTCGGAGTTTAGATATATATATTGTATAATATAAAATAAAATACTATGTATATGGTTTACCCCTCTAGAATATATAAGGACTTGGAATATAGACATCCCTTATAATTAGATTAGAAGAAAACCATAAACAAATACTTAATGCACCTAAATATTCAGCTTGTTGCCGTGTAGTTAGGGATGAAAACGGATCGGATACGAACGGATATCACTCATATTATATTTGTTTTCATATTTCCATCCGGATTCGGATTCGGACACCTCCACCGATCAATCTACATATACGAATACCCTCGATTGACTCGCCACATCTTTTTGTCGAATAATGAGTATCGAATCATACGGTATGAATCGGATCCATCGGAGAAGGTCTGATCTCAAAAATATCTATTCGGATATTGAGTAAAAGCAAGATATATATATATATATATATATATATATATATCATACGCGGATTCACAAACCATTACACCACTCTATGAGTCCATAATCCATCTAGATTAAGCCAAAGACTAAAGAGTAAAGCAACAAATAAGATAAAGATTTGATGGCATCGCAACGACATCATACATCAAACATCATATAAGCACCAATCTTGGCGCTCAACCAATGAACTAGAGAAATAGCCAAGGCACATTGCTTCATGGGTCTCATGGAGTCATGGTCATGGATTCAAGATCTATTGAACTTTATATTGATCATTTTTTCATTTTGACCAAGTTTGAACAAAATGTAGTTCAAATTTCACAAGTGGCTGATGATAGTTTTAGAAAGTCTGCTATGAGATTTAAGAATTTGTGACTAGTGTTTGATAAAACTTTCTCAAATGGGAAAATGAGCTATGTAACAATTGTATATCTTGCTGAGATGATCAAACTTGGTATTCAGAGTTTTTTTTCATCTGAGGTCATTTAGTGTCTCATTTGAGCAAGTTTGACCAAGTCAAATTTGGTCAAATGAAAAAACAACACTTCCCGACTCTTTATTATGAACTCTAAATGACTTCAAATTGAAAAGTTTTGAATACCAAGTTTCTTAAACTCATCAAGATATACAATTTTCTTTTGTATACCATCTTAAAGATGACTTTCCATTTGAGATAGTTTGAACCCCGTTCAAATTTGTGATTTTTGTCCCTTCGATGCTTACAAACTAGTTTTCTCCCCTAGATTGTCTCAAATTGAAAAGTTTTGAATACCAAGTTTGTTCAGCTCATCAAGATCTACAATCCTTATATAGGCTATTTTTTCATTTGAGAAAGTTTGAACAAAATGTAGTTCAAATTTCACAAGTGTGTGACATAGTCTCGTAAAAATCTATATGAGATTCAAGAATTTGTGACTAGTGTTTGATAAAACTTTCTCAAATGGGAAAATGAGCTATGTAATCACCATTGTATATCTTGCTGAGATGATCAAACTTGGTATTCAGAGTTTTTTATCCATTCTACAGGTCATTTAATATCATCATTTGAGCAAGTTTGACCAAGTCAAATTTGGTCAAATGAAAAAATCAACTAACATTTTGACTCTAGTATTA